GATAAGTATAAAATATCAATTTTACTCAAAAAATTACATTTTTAAAACATATCCTATCTCACACTGTGCTTTTCTCTTTGTTTCGATCCCAGACTGAACAGTCTTTCTGACTTGTTTCCAGTTTTAAAAATCACCTCCCAAACACATGCAAGCTGTTGCCATGGTGACTGTTGTTTTGGTATCAGCACCTTTTCTCTTTGGCCTCTTTTGCCTATCGTCTTTTCCTTACCACCTTTTTTGTGAAGACCTGTTTCACATTTGAAGGTAATTGAATTATTAATTTTTTTAATTTACTTTTGAATGTACATCATGAAATGGCAAGAAACGTAAAGCATGTGACTAATGCAAGAGGACAGCTGCTGTGATTACTGCCAAGGATGAAGGCTCAGATTCCTTCCTCATGGAAGACAAACAGGTCCACAGCCAGCCAGGATCAGTGATTGCAGTGGCCACCAAGTCAGCACTTACATGTATCCCTGAGGATCAATGTCACATCATGCAAAAGGATTCAGATGTGCCTCCCCCCTTTGAGTCAAGTACTGACGATTTCAAGATCACTTTTTTGTCCTATGGAAGACTAGAAGATCATATTCATGAACAAGGGACTTTGAACTACCCTAAGACTGTTACGATTGGGTCAGAGACAGACAACGATTGCTGATTTCTAGTTTTGAGGATTGTCATGCTGTTCTCAGGGACTGAGATCAGGATTGAAGCTCCCGGACATTCCATCAAGGATCAAAACAGTGATATCAGCAATGATCTGAAGTACAACCCCCCAGATGATTCCAGACCACAGATGATGTTTCCACAGTTGGGATTGGGATCGGCATACTCCTCCACAATCGTCTTATTGATCACAGTCGTTCCTACAGCAGGGAATGGGATTGATGTTTGGCTTGTGGATCATATGATAGACAACACTTTTCTTGAAGATCTTTGCACAGTCCTCTTTGGGATTGTATCAGTCTATAGACTTAAGCCGATAAGCGTCGAGGCAGGAAAACTATCAGGGACAGGATAGTTCTTTTTTGAGATCGTTCAGAATCTCATGATCAAATGGAATGGACCTTACCAAGTCAAGATCATCCTACTTATTATCCCCCGCCGCGCGTTTAGCACGAAGCGGGGGATATAGTATTAGGCTCTGTCTGTCCGTTCGTACGTACGGATTGGAATATCTTAAGAACCGTTGACTGGATTCTTTTCATATTTGGTACCTAGGTTCATCACAGTAAAAGAAAGGTCCCAGTCAGGTTTGGTGACCTTCATTTCAAGGCCTTGTCAGCAAGATACCTCAAGAACCGTTCACTGGATTTTCTTCATATTCAACACCAAGCTTTATCTAGGGAAGGCGCAGGGCCCAGTTGATTTTGGTGACCTTCACCTAATTTTCGAAGTCATGGCGACACTCTGATTTCAGCATGTTAAGCTGTATGTTAAGCTTGTCAGCGAGATACCTGAAGAACCGTTCAGTGGATTTTCTTCATATTCGACACCAAGCTTCATCGAGGGAAGGTGCAAGGCCCAGTTGATTTTGGTGACCTTCACATAATTTTCAAGGTCACGACGACACTTTGAAGATTTCAGCATGTTAAACTGCATGTTAAGATTGTCAGCGAGATATCTCAAGAACAGTTTACTGGATTTTCTTCATAGACTTTCAAGACTTCCCTTGAATGTTTTTCAATAAGCAATTTCTTTATTACTATTTTTGCATATTTCATACACTAAGACATTCATGTCAAGGTCAAAGTAAGTCTTGAAAATATTTGTGCGTTTGAACAACTACAGCGCAAGATATCAAGAGAGGTTGACTGGTCATGTTTTTGTTGACATTTAACTTCATCTTAAATTACGACCTTCACTTTGATTACTTTTTAAGTTTGATTTAATAATTTGCGGCGGGGGATTATGTCACCTTAGTGACAATGCTTGTTATCCACCTCTCAACTACATGTGAACAATATTCTAATGCTTATTTGAATGAAGACTACAGCTCCTTATGAACTCAAGCTGCTACCGGATAGAGTTGACCTTCCTGCTTCAACTGCAAGATCCCCTTCACCAGCTAATATACCTTCTGACACTGACCCAGTAATGTTAATGTATGGTACTTGCGACTATCTTAGCTCTAAGAGACCTTTGAAAATCTTGGCCCAGATTATGATTGCACAAGACTTTATTCATCAACATTCTTTCAGACTGATTGTCAAATCTTGACAAGACAAGTCACAGATTGACAATGATATGAAACTGCATGGTAAGCTTATGGTGACATGAGTCAAGTTAGTCACCTCTTTTGACAGGGATGTTTTGCTGTGGATTGCTTCTAACCCTAATCTTCACGATTGTCAACAGGAAGAAGCATACACCAAACCTTCACCTTGATATTCGATGGAGATGTGACTTGTGTGTGTCATGGTTGTTAGTCTCAAGATTGCTACCTTCGTCTAAAGTCGGTAGATCATCACAAAAGGGGACTGGTCAATCAGAGTTTCGACAGTGCCCTACAACCCTACATCCTGGGATCATCATTCACAGCCATTATTTTCACCTACAGATCACCAGTAAGGTTGAAAGGCTGTTGACAATTTGTTCTTGCATATTGTCTTGCATCAGTCATCATGAGGACCAATTTGCTAATGCACAGGTGACAGACATCACACATTCTATGAAGAACTAGGAGTTTTGTAAACTGCTATCTCTATGGAACTCAGGAAACTACTTTGTCAGTCATTCATTAACAACATCATTTCTCAGACTGGCGATTCAGTTGCTTCACAACAGATTTGGGCAAGACACAGTCCTCTGCTCTGAAATGTGACACTGGATTGTCACATCCATATCAAGTGTTAATGCTTTGTCCCAAGATTTCTCAATGGATAGGCCAACACTCCTGAGTCCCAGTAGTCGATATCTTCACAGACCACTTTATTACAAATTTGCCACTAGTTTGGCTGCACCCTTTTTGCCACTGAGACTTTGGTTCATCATACATAAAAAGAATTGTCAAGTGAACATATCATTCTCAGCACCTCACAAGAGACCTTCTGTTTTAGCCACACTCAAGCCATCTACATCCATCAGCAGAAACACTCCTTTTCTACAAAAGTCTGTAATCACTAAAAATTATTCTGCAAGAGTGGCTCAACGTATATATAAAGCTCATCATATGTGTGAAGTGATAAAACTGTGGTACATGGAAGGCATTTGAAGCTTATTGTAACTGTCATGATTCATTCACATGCTTCATTAGCCACTTACTTGGTGCCTATTAATTCAGAGATTGTTCCTACTACCTTGACTTAAGTTTCTACAATTGCAGAACCTGAAGATCTGATCAAGTCCTACAAGTTAGCAGATAACTCTCCCTGATTTCGACCTCCCACGGGGGATTGAATAGCTTTACAGGATTTGTCATTCGCAACCTTTGACCCCTTGGCAGATAGAGACTTTACACTTTTGTGGCTGATGGCTTTAGCTACTGGAGCCACTGTAAAATACATATTCTTAATGTTAAAGGATTCATTTCCTATGATTTAACGTAGTAGCAAAGATACAACTTTCAGGACAGCAGGATAGACTTCTGCCTTTCCTCTGTCCTCAGGCATGATGATGTAGAAAATTCATCTCTTGCCAGTGAAAGCTTTGAAAATCTATTTGCAAGGAACATTCATGGTTTGGCAACATAACTACAGTGTTCTCCTTTTGGCTTTAATCAGTCATCAAACCACGCTCCAACGCACAGGAGATAACAGCACTGTCTTAAATCATGACACTCAGTTCTCTGAGGGACATCACCATTGCAGATGTTCCAAGGGCTTCACTTGTTTTGACAACTGACAACAACCCATCAGTGCAGATGAAGTCACCATGATGTTTTATCATTGTTATCGTTGTGTGTTTGTATGTTCCCAGACTTATTCAACGAGATTAGTTTGTATAAATGTCAGATCATCAACAGTATATATATATATATATATATAAACGCAGGTCGTTACCACTATACATTTTGGCACTCTCAATCACTGCCAAACTGTCTTGGCCTGCAGCAGAGAGTATTTTGGCTTACTACACGAGCCAGATTATGTTCAAGAAATTGACTGCTGTTTGTTAGCCTCAATCACATTTGTTGGTGATAGTCTTAATCTGTCTCCTTGCATCTTAAAGTGTTTTACAGTTACAGTTTGAAGAACATTTGAAGCTAAGGGTGTCAATCATTTGCTTCTTTTGGTTATGACCTTTCAATCACTGTGATCAAGTTGATAGTGTTTCCCTTGCGTCTTAGAGTATATTGCAGCTCTAATTCGTTGAACATTCAATAGCTATCTACCAGAGCATCCAACAGTGGGAATTATGTCATCACTCAATAGTTTTTGCTCGTTTCTTAGAGAAGTGATGTGTTGTGCTCATGGAAATGTGAGTCACCCTTTCATGAGTTCATGAGATGATGTGATGGTAAAGATTTGGTCATGGTTTTGGACCAGCTTCAGCAATGTGACAGTCCAGACTTTGGTTTTGCACCCCTGCTGCACCATACATCAGTCTGAATGCAGTGCCAAGAATCATTAACAAAAGAGGCCAGAGAAACAAGCTGCATGTGACGCAAATTGTTTACACTTTCTAGTTAGAACTATGGTCAACTATGGGATGTGCTTAAGTGCAGTTTACTGAACCTTTGACCAGGTCAGAAAGACTTTCCACACAGGGATTGAAAGGAGATGCACAGAGTAAGATGGCATAAGTATTCAGAAATGTACAATTTTTACAATCAATTACCAAACCAGATCTAGGGATCACCCTTGTATCAATGTTAGCCCACATGACTTGTAGCATTCAAGATAAAGGACAAAGAATGTTCCACATTGAGAATGTTATATTGCAATTTTAATGAACCAGTTGTCTATATTTTGAGAAACTAATGTAAATTTTGAAAAAATATTGTGTAAGTTAAGTTCTCTTGAAATTACATAATTGAAGTGTCATTTATCTTGCAGGGTGTCAGATAAGAACAGTAGCACAAAGGGCAGGCAAACTTTGTCTGATAATGAGGATCAGGAAGAAGAGGAACAGAGTGAAGGGTTTAGGAGAGACCCTATTTTCTACAAGAGGAATGAGAAAGGACAGTCAGACAAACGACAAAAAGACATGAACAAGGAGCATTTACATTTGGATCAGTCTAACCCTTACAATGATGGAGACTATGATAGATATGGCAATCCATGGAACCAAGATTACAATTACAATTTCAACAGCATGTGCCACAATGACTATTACCAAAATGGCCATCATGGTGGATACGGCCCTGAAGATTTTCAAAATCGATATGGTAACAGCTGTGGGTGGTTTCCACCAAGAGGTGGTTTTGTTGGCTTTCATGGACCTCCAAGAGGGGCAGTACCTGGACCTAGATATCTGTCCTTTGACAGTCATGACAATGACAGAATGGATGATGATATGGACTTGAAAAGGGATGGTGGGGAGGAGGAACGTGTGAATGTGCATAATAAGGAGTTTCCTTCCTATCAAGGCCGGTACTGGAATGATTATCGGCCTAATGGGCATCCACCTCCGCCATGGCATGGCCCGTGGAGCAACAGAAGTCGGAGAACCAGTGTTGGGAAAGTGTCATTTGGAAAGAACACTGCAGAAACGTCGATGGGGACAAAGAGTAAGAAAAAGAAGAAAGGAAAGGGGAAAAAAGGGAAGTTTAACCCTGCTAATATTGAAAATCCTGACACTACAAATGCAAGGAAAAGATGTCGAAATTCTGATTCTGAAAAATGGACCCAAAAACTTCGCGATTGGGAGATGTGGACAGCATTAGTGCTGAGGCAAAGGCAGTGATGGATGGTTTCACATTCCAGTTTGATAAAGTGTTTCGTAGTGAACATGATGCAGAGTCACTGTCTTCCTCAGTGAGGTCAACATCTTCTAACAAGTCCAAGTCTTCCACAAAAAGCAGAAGTAACAGTAGCAGCCCCTCATTAAGGCTGAAGAGCCGTAGTGTCAAGAAGCTTCAGAATAGTCGAGTCTCACCCAAGAGTATTCGTGTGTCTCTTAAAGTAAGTCAGGACAGCAAGGTTGTTGGAAGTGAACGGCAAGTGACTAATGCAGAGTCTGGTGTTTTAGAAAAAGCTGAGAAGTTGTGTAAAGAACTAAGAGAAAAGAGGCAAAAAGCTAAATGCGACAAAGAAAAGAAAATTAAGACCAAGAATAATGAAATGAGGGATGTTTTGAACAAGCAAATCAAGTCTTTAAGTGATGCAAATAAATCTCGAATCAAGGGTCATTTGGCATCTGTTGAGAAAGGCTTTCCTGTTTCAACAGAGTCATCTCCTCAGGAAAGTGGTATTGCATCATTCTCATTTTCACAGACATCTGCAGATGTAGCTGCCAGCAGGAGCGTGCTAGCTTCCAGTACACAGACTTCTCAAAGTGAAGATCAAGCCTCTAGTGTAACTCCAGCTTTTAGAAGTGATATAGACAGAATAAGACACAACATTGAAAACAGCGTTAGACGAACTTTGTCTAGCCCAGCCAAATCAACATCATCTCCTGGTGAATCTTCTATTAACAACTCAAAAAAACAGGAAGCCACTTAGCAAAGATTCTTTGTTGAAGATGGTAAATTCACCGAGGTCCAGAAATGAGAGGCTTCATTTGGCAAGAATGTTGAGAACCCATGCTAGAACACAGAATAAATTAGCTCCTTCAAGATTGAACGTTCAGCTGAATGGACTGTATGACAACTATGAATTTGATGAAGAGGACATCCCTGCTATATCTCTTGAAGACCTGTCCCCTGAAGTCAAGCTACAGATTGCTCAGCTGATTGAGGATGATGTGAACATAGACCTAATCAACAGTGAGCAAGATACTCCAAGTTCACCTGGTATTGAAGCCAAGGTTAATTTCAGAAAACCGTCCAGCATGAGTAGGTTAGACGCTATGGAAGCAGCTGCTGGTTATGGGTCAATAGCAAGCAATTCCATCAGACAGTGCATTATCTATAGCAGATCTTAGTAGCCCACCTGACAGACCTCTGGATGAAAGTTCCACAGATCAGGGTGTTCTAAATGTTGATTCAATGGAGACATTTCAGTTCACAGAGCCTTCCATTACTGTGACATCAAATGATGGTATTCCTCAGTTGCATGTGTCAGAGTCTGCTGTCAGCTCCAACAGTCATCCCTTGACAGTGTCAAGCCCAGTTCCTCCAAGTGTTTCTGGTGCTACGTCCTGTGGTGGTGGGGAGAAGCACATGTCATTGGCTGTTTCCAGTGCTGTGGTACTGTACCACTTTCTTTTCACATTTTATGGGAAAAATGAGGGAACAAATGAGAAATATACAACAATATGTGTACAATCTTTGCTGATGTTTTATATGATGTATCTTTGCTGATTTTCCTGACATAAGTTGAAAATATGGCCTAAATACTTCAGAATAATCCAGGGTGCCATTGTACAAAACAACCTTAGCGCTAAGACTACCTTAAGTCTATGTTAAGGTATGGGAGTTACGGTCACCTTAGCGTTAAGATCGCTTTGTACAACGGTACCCACGTGTGATATTCAGATAAGTGTGATAATGATTACATATATCTTCATGTTTCAAATACCACTATAGCCCTCTGAGTGAAATTTTAGATAGAGTCGGTTAAACCGCGCTCTTCACGATACCGCTGGAATCCGTAATCCGTGGCTCCCATAAACAAATTTGCCCAGTGATCACACATATTCACGTCATCAAAAATAGCACATCAACAAATCCGCTCTTGAGCTCTTATTAATCATGTTGTAAACTAGTGAAATTCAGTGCGGCTTGCAATTAACAGTGTTTATCGTACATATCCATGGTTTTTCAGATGCTTAAAACATGCAGGGTTTTTATCAATAATAATAGATGAACAGCAAAACATCGTATTAACTTTATCATAAAGACATGTCGATCATCAGCCGAGTACTTACAACGTTTGCTATGATGCAACACACCGCGTAATTGCGTGGGTAAACACCGCCATCTGAGAATGTATGATGTCAGAAAACACATCTTATTTGATTAAATTCAATCCCATTTTCATTCATTAAAACTGTTTACAATAACAACGGAGAAACCGTGAGTGAAATGGCATTACCTCATTCCATTTCGCGCCTACCGCGATAGCACCAATTTCACATTTTTCTCAGCAATCACGAACATATTACAGCCTTGTCATCCATTGACCCCAAGACCCGCGTTATTGACTCATTGAAGTCATATTTGACAATTAATTGCCAACATTTTGTTTTTACAATCAAAGTGGCACGTACCGCGGGAAGTCAGCGGTGACTTGTCAAACTGTCTCCTACGTAAAATGTATCCAGCCAGGTAACCCAAAGTACTTAGCAATGCTAATTATTATGTTAAATATGTTCAAAGAAAACATGCATTATACATATACGATAGCAATATATAAGATCTCTGTTAGAATAACTGCTTGACATATAAATTATTCTGATAATGGAATAGAAATTCTTTGATGTTATATTTTCGGATCGTTTTTAACTGAATCACCGGTACATTGGACCAAAACATCGATCTGTGCCCAGCTGATTGCTATTTCCGGCTTAGTTGAATAACAGGTAGCATGACAGGAACAACAATTGAATTATCATGTCTTGTGATGTTTGACTGCAAGTTTCATGTACATACATCTATTTTCATTTACAAAGTTTAGTTTTTTTTCACCTCCAACAATACGATATAGTTTTGACTGGGCGCAATACAGGAAATAGCAGTTTTGTTATGCCATGGAAAATACGATTTTACTTGGCCTTTGTTCCGCGTTACGTGATCGTTACTATAACGCTGGTGTCTAATGGCGAAGGGAGTCATCCATGGACCCCAAGACCCGCGTTATGGCGAGGGATGCCTGTACTAATACGTTCACAATGTTGCTACACAACGTGTTTGTATGTTGGGGCTAAGTCCATAATTTCTGACCTAATACTTAAGGCTTTGTATTTTCTTTTGAGTCAGTATAAATTTCTAATGACTTTTACTCATTGCTGTGTTATGTATGCACATAGAGTTTGATAGATGCTATGCATTTGCTAGTTTGCTTATTGTTTCACACTGCATACAGCAGTATTCTTGCTATTGTAAACAATGTGCTCCTCTGTAATGGTTTAATGACATTCAGTCAACCTTGTTACCTAATCATTTTAGTTGTCAGTAGAGTCAAACATAGCTTGTTGGAACCAATGACAAGTACTCCTTGACCTGTTTTTACTGATTTTAGCAATCATATTCCCCTCCTAGACATTATATATGTGTTCATCATATTAGTTCTGTTTGTAGGATCTGGGAAGAAGAGCTTTACAGATGAGTGGCCTTGAGGACAGACAGAGCCATAGTCAAAGTTGTACATCTTCAGCTACACCAAGTATGTGCCCATAAGTCTTTAAAATTCATGTCAGTACAGTGGTACACATCATTAGTCATTTCCAACTATTCCTTGGCTCATTCTGGACTATTTGTGTATTTTAAATAACGATATAATACTTGTGAATATCCTACCTCTATTACATTATTTGATATTATTTAGTTTGTTATTATTCTTTTCTAAAGCGTGAAGAGAATGACAAGTCACCAATTCATGGTTTTTGGCTCAGCCAGCATTCTGCATGCGGCAGACAAATCAGTTATATCCATGAACCTTGACTGGTGATGTTTCAAATCACTGCATGGTTACCACCCAGACTCCAGTGTCTTCTGAAAACCTGGAAAAGTGGTAGTTCATTTACTACAAGCTCATGCAGTAGTATGGGAATGGAACTTCAGTAAAACAGTCAAAGACATGGTTATGCTGTAAGGTCAAGGGTAATACCATCAGTTTTGAGACATATCAATGCTCCCATACTCTTCAGCTAATTTCAGGAGTATGTACTCCTCAGTTTTAAAAATATCTGGAGCACTGCTAGTTGTGCCTCACAGACAACCTATAGGTACTGTATCATTAGCGTACAGATTAAATGCAAGCTTGAAGTGTAGAGGAGAGACAGAAACCTTTATCTTGCTTCAGTCAATCAAGAGAACCATACTGGATTGGTACTTTTTCCACTGCAACTACTGTGCACTCTTGTCCAGAGTATTGCTCATCTTAGGCAGTCTACCAGTCTCCTTCAAGGGCTATATTGTTTTGCCTGAAAGCTGGACTTCACTACCTCAACACAACATAGTGATTGAAACATGAATGAGTTGATTTATGGCTGGTGTATGTCACATTATACCACCCTCTTCAGGAACCTTATTCTAGTTGAATCAAGTTGCCTTTTAGTCATTTGGTCAGCATTTTTTGGATACAAGAGAATTTCTTGCTTTTATTAGTGGATGTCTGTTATTGTCTCAGAGATATCTGCTCATGCAAGTTTGGACAATGTCAGTTTCTAAGCTAATGAGGTAGCTTTTTATCGCCCAACTGGTCACAGCTCATTGATGTGAAAGGAACTCAATTCCATTGATCTGTTTACAAACAATGGAGGATAGTTTTACCAATTGAATAGTTGTTTGCTCTGGAATCCTATCAGTCTATTGTTGATAGGTTGTTATGCCTGCACAATATGCTGTATTTGTAGAGATGAGTTTTTCTCAAATACAGGATTTATTTCATTTCAGATATGTAATAGAGGTAGATAATTTGGAAAGGAAAAAAAAAGAGTCCCATATTTTCACTGACTTCATACTAGCAAACAAGTGGCCATGTCTAAACCTGGAAACAGTAAATCAAACAGCAGAATGGAATTATGCAAAAGAAAACTTAGAGATCTCTTCAGTCCTTTGAACTACTTTCAATACATCATATGGTGGAATCGACTGCAAAAACTTCAAGAAAGAATATAAATTTTTCCTTATCTTGACTCAGGCTTATTGCTTATCTCCCTTCTCCTTTCGACAGTTAGTGGAATACTTGAATCCTTTCAATTCCCTGAAGCGATCATAATATTACTCACCCACGAGTAGCCTCCCTTTCCCCACCAATACGGTCCCATGTGACCTGAGCCCAGCTCTCATTACTCTCTCCTGCATCACCCAAGCAGACGGTTGGGCGGTCATATGGGTCCTTTTTGCAGCTTATATCCTTTGTTTTTCGGCCTTATATTCTAAATTTGTGGCTGTGAATTGTATTTAGATACTTTTTAGATTCATCACGATGTATTTTAATATGTAAATTTCTGCTAAATTCTGTGTTTTACACTCCGTTGCAGGTGGCTGTTTTACCAATGGTGGCATGTCAACAGTGCAGATTTTGTTTGTCTGCAGCTGATCCTCACCCTGTCTGCCCCTCTTGCTGTCATTATTCCTGTTCCTTAGTATCACGTTGTCAGTATTGTGCACATTTATCAACTGAATTATTTAATAAATATTTGTTTGCACGTTTACACAAGGTATAAGATAAACAAAAGCGTATCAGCAAGGCAGCGGCTGTGAGTGGTGATTCTCGGGCATCGGAGTGTGAGTTGTCACAGATCACTACGCAGAACTCCGGGGTTTCGCCTGTCTGTGTTGCTCTTACAGAGACAGCTACTTAATCTACTTCTAAGAGGAAGTCACCCCATAAAGAAGCGACTGAACTACAACCTTTGGTGAGGAAAAAGAGAGCGTCTAGATTGTCTAAGAAATTGTCATCAGCGAGATCTACATCATCTACACATTTCACTAATCAGACATGTGGATGAATGCACCTACATCATTCGAGAACGCCTTAACACATCTAGATAGTCCACCTCAGGCTCTTAAATCGCAGATCATCTTGACATCTTCACAGAACACATCTACTAGTACCCCTGCAGGGTGCACGAACCCTAGTTCGCAGAAGCATTCGTCCAAGACGTCGTCATCTGATAGGAAACATCTGTCTCATCGCTGATCTTCGTCTATGACATCATGGTCCAAGAACCCTTCTAGTGACAATCAACACGCCTCGCCTCAGTCTACTAGTTCAACTATGGTATCCACACAGTTCGCAAAAGGGTCCCCGAATCAACTTACTTTGCCTGTACCAGCGCAGAGAGAATTAGCTTCTGGAGAAGAGTTCTTGAACTCTCATAAATGGAGATCATCATCTCATTGACGTCAGGGGCGGTGGGGTAGCCTGGTGGTTAAAGCGTTCGCTCGTCACGCTGAAAACCCGGGTTTGATTCCCCACATGGGTACTATGTGTGAAGCTCATTTCTGGTGTCCCCCGCTGAGATATTGCTGCGGCGTAAAACTAAACTCACTCACTCACTCATTGACGTCAACAGCGAAGTACTTCGACTACATCGCACACTTGCGCGAACCTTAAAGTTCGACGAACCCATCTGTGGACCAGGATTTTGTGGCTACTGTTACATGACAAGTTGTCTTAGCTATGCAACAACAATGTTCAGTGGAGAATCGACAGCCGATTACTCATTCTACTCCTATGGCATCTATCAACGATACCGTCCATGAGGATGCACCAGCTTCATATACGAGCGTCCAAGAATTAGATTATGCATCTGTCTACCCGGACTCTGAAGTTTTATCTTGGATAGCGGATGGCATACCGATATCTTCGCCAACTTATAAACTCAAATTCGGCTGAGACATATCGCATAGTGAACGAAGATTTTGACACGTTGACGATTCCGCCAATAAAGCCGATATCTCAGGTTTTGTCGAACCTCAAGTCAGCATTCACGAATGCTACCAGACATCAAGGTCAACATACACCGGCGTTTAATGCAAGGAAATTTCCTCTGCATAGTGTGCAACCGTTCTTCAGAGCGCCAGAGATTGACGACGACTTTCATGTCATCAGTGACTCCACTGACTCTGATAGCTACAAAGTAGAGGATAGGAAGTTGGCTAACCTAGATACGACTATTAGACGTACATTCTTCAGACTAGCTAGATCTCGATCTGTCAACGAAAGCCTTAATCAACAACTTCCAGAACCCAGAAAAGGAGACAGAGAGGATGATATTATCAGCCCTCGTCACACAGAAGAAAGATCAGGAATTCATGTCTGATTACCTGGCGTCTACATCGGCAGACTTGACGTTATTTCGATGTCAAGGACTCCACTCATCTTGCAACTTAGCCATGAAGGTCTGGGTTAGAGTATTGAATCTTCAGTAACCCATGCAATCGCCACATCGAAGAGTATTCCTGTGGTTGTTTACACGTGTGACAAAACCCATAGTGGTGTTTTTACATCTGAGAGGATTCCGCAGTGCCTTCTACCTATATGACAGCATAGAGGTGCATCAGTTAGCAGAGCAACTTAGACGTCGGCTAGATTTTACAATCCAATTACTAACACAACTGGGATGGTTAGTCAGTTGGAATCGTAGTGCCAGAGGAACAGTGGGCGAACATACAGACTTGTCTTCACATTGAACGAACCTCTACTGATAAGAGAATGGCAGAAACTGTTGGGTCTCCTTATATCAGCGCAGTCCCTAACACAGGGGAAGGCTACAAATACGTCTAATTCAACGCTTCCTAACACCTCATCTAGGCAGCCAGCAGGCGATATCCATCCTTCAGCATCTAAAGAAATATCTACTTTGGTGGACAAACAAGTCGAACGTCTTGCTCATTTGCAAGAGCCAGAATACAGTCTACATCTCTTCGTCAATGCATCCCTGCAGGGATGGGGAGCACACTTCAACGAGGAGGTTGCATCAGGAGTTTGGTTTATGTCTGCACATAAATCAACTAGAATTCTAGGCAGTCATTAAGGCAATTCAACATAAGGCGCATGTATTGAGAAATTAAGTTCTCATGATCCACACAGACAACTCGACAGTAGCGTTTTACATAAACCTACAAGGCTCAACAAGATCACCCCTATTGCAACTGACGTTTCAACTCTTCAAACTACTGGACAATCTCAACCTATGGATAAGAGCTTGCAACATTCCAGGAGCGAAAACGTCTTAGCAGACACCTTGACCAGACAAGTAATACCATCTCCTACGGAATGGATGTTACATCCAGAAGCATTCCAACTGCGAGACGCTTCAATCATCAAATTGCAACGTTCGTCTGACCAGTACCAGATCCACAGGCTTTTGCGCTGGACACTCTAGGACTAAATGTTTACACATTTCTACCACCATTACTGTTACCACAGGTACACCGCACGATCGCCCAAACCAATTTCCTATGACTGATTTTGGTCACGCCTTATTGGCGATTGTTGTTTCCGGACCTCATAGAACTTTTTGGAGAACCAACGTTGAGTCTACGAGATTGGCCGGATCTACTGATCTATCCTCTCACACAAAACTACCGCACGACAATCCAGCAGGATTCCAGCTACTGGCATGGAGTGTATTAAGCACTGTCTGAGGAAAAGAGGATACTCTACCAGAGCTTCGAAGGCAGTTACACTGGCCTTGAGACGTTCTACTT